GGGGGGGGGGGTAAAACAAGGGATGCAGTTCAATTTAGGGTTAAGTCTTTCCTGGAGAAGGCATTACGAGGCAGCTGATATCTGAGTACATTTTCTGTATCTATAGTGTTTTCTCTCAGCCATCAAATCCAAAGGACAAATGCCAAAGGTCTGTAGAGGGTTAGTCCCCAGATAATGACCTAGAGACTCACAGGACTTTTTCTACTTCACATCTTAAAGCTGAAATGCATCCCCCAACACTCATACTTTCTTCTTTCCAAGTCTCTGAACCAAAGTCAAATCTCAGGCCCACACCCCTCCCTACCCCAACATGGCCATGACCCATGATCTTGCCATTCAGGGGCCACGCCAGTCTTTGGGGCCTCATTCCACCAAACTGCTCTAGGCCAGGGGTAAGGAAAGGGCCAACAGCACCCATGGCACCTAAAAAAAGACTGGAGATCCCACATCAGGGGCAGAGCAACTTCTTCCTAGACCATGGGTGACTCCAGGAACTCCCAGGCACAGCAAAAAAACTTAAGGGGCCCCTGTTGATTCCAGTGTCTGTGACTATGCTTTTTTCATCTGTACTGCAAGGAAGCAAAACTAGGTGACTTCCAGGGTCACCTCCAACCCAGTATTGGAACTCCTGACTCGATGCAGGAGACCAGGGAAGTCCAACTTTTGTCCAGCTCAGGGAATCAGGTCACATTCTCTGCCAGGGAGGGGCCCTAGACTGGAAGAGCAGGAGTGGCCACAAGGCCACAGCCCTAACTGAGAGAGGTGAGAGAAAGCAAGCCATGCTTCGGAGCTTGGATCCAGCTGGCCAGCCTCTGTCTGACTTTTGCAAGTATTAAATTCCTGAGTGTGAGAAAAGACACCAGATCCCCTGGGTCAGGAGAGATGAGTTTTTTCTCAGGCTAAAATCAGGGATGATTTCCTGTGCACGTGGGTGATTACGTGTGTGCGTGCGCGCGCGCGCGCGAGCGCTGGTGTTTCCCCCCCTCCTTACTGACCAACAGGTCAGTGCTGCCCATGAGGGAGATGAAGCCCTTGAGGCTAATCCCATGTGCATTCCTCCCAGGCAGTGATGGGCAGCCAGCCACCCTCCACCTTCCGCCGTAGCCTCTCACCTGGGGGTTGTCCATGTACCAGAGAAGGTAGTTGGCCTGGGTGTCCAGAATGAAGTACCTCCGTAGAAACTTGCCACTGTTTTCATTCTCCTCGATGTCCAGAAACCCACAGATTCGGTTCTGCCGATCCACATAAGGCATTCCTGGGCTCTGCTCACATCACCCTGCATGGCAGGAGGGAGGGAGGCACTGGTGAGAAGGAGGGTGAAGTGGGCCCTGCCTCAAGACCTGTAGGAACCTCACTCTGGCTTGACTCACCTCTGCGAGAAGCTGGCAATCTCTCGCATCAGCTTCCTTCCCCAGGGCACCAAATGTTCTCCCCAACCAGACCCTGGAAACCTTTTATCAACTCTGTTCCTTAAGCAGTCATCAAAACCCACTGACATGTATCACCTAACTTTCCTGAGGCTCTTTTATGTGGTGAGCTGAGCGTTAGGCAACTTTACATACAGAGAGGACATAAGCCTAGACTTTTGAGTCAAAGGCCGGGGTTCCAATTCCAGTTCTGGCCACTTACTGTGTAATCTTTGTGCACCACAGTTTCTGCATCTATAAAATGGGGATAATCACAGTATGTGCACCTCATAAGATTTTGGTGAAAATTAAGTGCTTGGCGCATATTAAGCACTTCATAAACACTAGGTATTATTATTACTCTTCACAAAAGCCTTGGAAAGTAGGTCATAACCCAGTTTTATACATGGAGAAACTATCTCAGAAAGGATTTAAGCTCCAGTTTCAAATACATGGACAAAACTTTGCCAGAATTCATTCATAAACAGCAGCCCCTCCAGATCCATGAAGGTTCCAAAGAATTAATCTGAGGGCAGGACCACATGCTTCACTAACTTCACTTTGCTATGACCCAGAGGCCACTTGTAATTGAAAGAATGAGGGAATCAGAAGAAAGCCCCAAGCCCTGAACACTTTCACTGACTCTAGAAGAGGGTCTCGTTGTCGAGAGATGTGCCACATCCTCAAGCTAGCCTCCCCTCTCCTTGTGATTTCCTTCGTCTCTGAAGAGCCAACAGAAAGGCCAGGAGCTCTGTTCTCCTCCCGAAGGAATGTAAGCAACTTCCCACAAGCAGTTACACCCAACCTGATGCCCAAGATCCCACAAGGATCAGAAAACATCATTTAGACTTTCACGGACAGGCACCACCCACCGCTGGCCCTGCTTGGCTCCAACAAGCAAAGTCCACTAACACCCAAGCCCGCCATGGTTCTCAGTCTACAACTAAGCTAAGTTGCGAGACAGCCGACCTAAGGCGCTTCCCTGCACCACGCCACGGTCAACAAGAAGCTACTGAGACATCACACCTGCAGCCTTCCAGGCCCAGAGGGCAGGTCCCACCAGCAGGGAGGCACATCCCCAGGAGAGCAGGGAATTGTAAGGGTGGCGACTGTTGGTGTGATCTGTTCTCTCCCAACCCCACAAGGGGCCTGACAGTGTTGAAAGTCTGCCCCAAGTTAAAAAACGCTCCCCACACACAGAAATGAACAGTGACTCCCTTGAGTCCAGGTAAGGTCAAGCCAGAGTCCCAATGGGGACAGATGACTCAGTGAGAAGGGAGATGGGTCAGGGTATCCCACAGCTCCTCGCTGGGTAGCGACTGGGGACAAAGGGATAAAGCAGGCAGGGAAACAGGGCAAAGGATATAAGAGGAGAGATAAAAGATGAGAGGAGGAAAGGATACAAAGTGGAAAGAGGAGAATTAAAAAGATGGCAGAGGAGATGGAAGAAGTGTGGCGGAAGTGGGGTATAAGGGCAGGGTGTGGGTTGTGGGGAGAAACAGCCCTGAGCAAAGGAACGTCACGCTTGTCACAAGTACCTGCAGCCAGAGGCCCTCCTTCTCTGAGCCTCCCCAGGCAAACCCTGCCTCCCAGCTCCAGCTCCACAATGGAGCAAATCTGAGAACACGAAAGGGAAAGAGATGGCGACAAGCCAGGAGTTAGGAACAAATGGCATGGGAGGAACCTGAAGTCTTCTTGCAGACACTGGGTCAAAGATGGGAAGGTGTGAGGCCTGGCATTGGTTGGGGAGGGAGCATATCCCTGAGAAAGGATGCAGCTTCCCCTGGGGGGGGATAGGGGAAAACAGGAGTCCCCTGCAGAACGGCTGGGCCAGCCTCCCAGGGAGAGTGCATAGCTGTCTGGTCAGGATGACGGAGCGTACCCATCCCCCAAGAAAACTAGGCAAATTCCCTTGATGCAACCAGAAGCAGCATTTCCGGGGGTTTCAGGACTTGCCATTCCTGGGACATTTCTAAGAGAAAGCATATAAAATGCAGTGGGATAACAAAGGGGACTGTCTCTGGGCCCTGTTGGTAAGCACAGCACCCGACTTCATGCTGGCCTTGAAATGTTCCCTTTTCAGCCAACAGGATGAATCAGTGCCTGTCTTTTTCTCAAGTCAGAGGCTAGAGGAGGCACTCTTTCTACAAGCCTCCAACAACGCACTTTGGTGGAGAGTGCTTCCCATTTGCATGGATCCCTGGGAGGGAGAAAACCTTCATATACCAAAAGGAAAGATAATAAAAGGAAGAGTTCTGGTTACAACATCTCCTGACTGTGGTTCTAGTCCCAGAAAAAAAAAAAGAAGAAAAAAAGCTGCTCAGATGTCCTGAGAAGCCGCTGAGTCACAGAGCACATCAAGAATGTGGGAGGTGGGGGACAGATCAGCTGCAGGAGAACCAGCATCACAGGGACATGTGCTTATAACTAGTCAACCCACACAGAAGTGACATACTCAAAGAAGGCACAAAACACAAACCTGAGGTCCTAAGCCCCAACCGTCTGACAGCTCATTCAGATCCCATTGGTACGGCCCTTGTCACAACAGCTGCTAACAGTTGGTATGGAGAGCCTGCTGCCCCCAGCCCCCAAATCTCTCTCTGCTTTAGACCCCTCACCATCATCTTCCAAGTCCCTGCTGGTTCCTCCTCTTTTCCCAGAGGGGACCCTCGAATACAATAACTATGCCACCCCAGGCTCAGCCCAAACAACAGGGCAGTGAGGGGAGAAAGGGAAGCAGTAGAAACTGGTACTAACGGGGGGAACCCACCTTGATTCACACACACATACTGTCACCCTAAAATTCCCCTACCAAGACCAAGACAAAGCTTCGAAATGTCCTTTCTAACTCACAACAATCCTCCAGTTATATAGTTTTAGCCTATTTTCTGACTCTCTAAAATCACCTGTTATCTTAAATTTCATTTTAACTTAAAGTCCCCAGTGTAAAAATATTGGGTGGAGGGTGACATTGGGCTGTTTGACCCAGGAAGTTGCCCCCACCCCTGCATGTCCTGGGCCCCACAGGCTGACAATGACTTTCTCCTCACCTCCCAAGACAATATGCAAAGTGTTCTTGGTGGCTTAAAGCACCAGATACCCCTCTCTCAGCCTAGCCTCTCACCTTAGCTCTAACACCACAATGAAGCCACCCAGCAAGTAGCTCCATAACCTTCACAATACATGGAAGACAAAGAGAACAGACATTTGTCCCGGAAGGGGGCTTGGCCCACCCCTTAGCACCCTTCCCATCTTTCCACAGCATGTTAAACCTCCCCAGGGTTTTCCGTGTTCAATGCAAAAATCACAATACAACAATGTCGGCATTTTAGAAAGATCACTTTAGCCAGCCACTTTCACTTCTGCCTGCTTTTTCATCCTACTGTCTGCATAATCAGCCTTTTTAAAAATTCAAATTATATCATAAACATATTCCATGTTGCTAGATAGCCTTTGTAATCATTGTTTTTAATGGCCGCATAACATGACTGGGCTGTATTTGCTATAATTGACTTAACCATTTCTCCATGATTAGACAGTTAGATTACATCCAATTTTTAACTATTTTAAATAATGCTGAAATTCATATTTTCATGCTTTGTTTCTTCTTTTACATAAACAACATAAATTCCAAGTAATAATATGACTATGTCATAGTTTGTGATTTTTTTTTACAATTCTTGAGACCTATTTCCTGCTTCATCTTCTTTCCTGGACTTTGTGAAGTTCAAATCAAAGGGATGTGTGCACTCAGTCACTATCAGTCAATCTCTCTCTGTCTCTGTCTCTCTCACACATATACACGTACCCTAAACCAAACCAAACCATGGCCTCACATAGTCCAGGTAACTAAAGAATGTATTTTAAAGCAAAGTAAAATAGAAAAGAGGAAAGTTTTATATGATCCAGATTTCCTCCATATATAAATTCCTAAATATGTACTGCAACTGAAAATGTTAAATATTTAATTTATAGTAAAAAGAAAACTTTTAAGGAAAAAAAATTAACTTGCATGAAGTTACCCATTGATCAGCAGCAGAAAATGGGTTAAATGTCAATTAAACCAAGATTCTGGCCAACATTTGCCAGTTGACTAGACAAAGCTCATGAAGTAAAAGAGACAACGGCTGCCTACCTGACAGTGAGATCAGGAGCAGTGGGAGATGTCTCTGTCCAAAATATCACCACAGTTTTGCCCATTTCAATGCCTATGGTTCCATCACTGGAGGAGATTCCAGCCAAGAATAAAATTATCCACTAGGAACTGAGGCAACTGGCATCTTTATCAGGCTCATAATATGCAAAAGATATCTGGGACCAAGGCCCTAAGAAATGGAAAATACCCCGATGGAAGAAAAAGACAATAAAGGGGTGAAAAAGTAAAGAGAAGGCTTGAAACAAATGTTATCTCCTTGAAAAATTCCCCTAAGATTCTTATACATCCAGGACAGGAGCAGGAAACTTTCTGGGAAGCAGTTTGGAGATATATAACAAGAGAGCCAAAAATGCTCAGACCCTTTGACCCAGTAATTCTACTTCTAGGATCCCATCCAAGTAAATGAGCAAAGATGCAAATAAAGATTAAAATTAAAAGATAGCTACTGCAATAGAATTTGTAAAAACCAAAAGTTGGAAATGCTCTGAATGTCCCAATGATTGGGGTATAATTCTATAAATTATGGGACATTTGCATAAGGAAATGTTACATGATCCTTTAAAAAATGTTTTTAAGCCTTTTTTTAATGAATCAGGGAGAAACCATATCCTGATAAGATTTTTTAAGATACAATATGATTTATAATATGATCTCAACACTCTAAATATTTCTTTTGTATTTCTATATTTGGATAGAAAAAGACTGACA